TAGCTGGGACTACAGGCATGTGCCACCATGCCTGGCTAATTTTGTATTTTTAATAGAGACAGGGTTTCTCTATGTTGGTCAGGCTGGTCTCGAACTCCTGACCTCAGGTGATCCGTCTGCCTCAGCCTCCCAAAGTGCTGTGATTACAGTCGTGAGCCCCCGCACCTGACCCTCCTTTCCTTTCTTTCCCTATAATTCATCTGTTGAAGAACACAGGGCCTTTCACCTTCAGTTGCTCCACAGTCCGGATTTCCCTGACTGAATGATCTTGACGTAGTTTAACGTGTTTCTCTGACTTTTGTGTTTTGCAACTCCCATTGCAGTTGTCTTATTTGAAATTTAAATATAATCAAAACCAGATGGAACCCATTAATTGCCTTTATGACTTTTTAAAATAATGGTTCTTTACAAATTAAAAGTAAAGGAAACAAGTCTCAGAGAATTCAGGGGAGTCTGTAAAAACCATTTGATGTTTTATGGATCTGGTAAGAGCCTTTTTTAAGGAATAACAAAAGCTTTTTCATTACAGATGAAATAATTAGCAAAATCAGCTTGTAGAGTTAGATAGCAGATTTGCTTTCCTATTTTATCTCCCTAATCCAAGAATGCTGAAAGAAAAGATAATTATTCAATTTACAGAGTGACCCAAACTCAAATCTAAGTTTGTTCATATGGATATAAGGTGCCCAGAAATAAAATCTAAAGGAAGAACATGCATCTGTAAATTCAGTCGTAGGTCCTTCATCCTGCCTTCCGGAAAAGGCACTTTTTACTGTTAATGCATTAATTAGAATGTGAGGCCATTTAAAACTTTCCTTATTCACCATCTTTGAAATGTCATGTTGTAAAATTATCATCATGAACTTTGCTGAAATAAACAGAGTCCTAAAAAGGTGACAGGTTTAATAATTCCATCCAAGCTGTGCAAGATCACAGGATCAGGAAAGGAAAAAAATTCACATCATTTAGTGAGGAGGTAGGAAAATGCTCCACTGCAGATTCTGGAGGCCATCTTTCCTCTGGATTTCATCAGGACTGAATTTTTCATAACTATCATTTAATACTTTGATTGGCACTTAGGTGGATCCAAAGCAGTTGCTGGAAGATGGAATAAGGAAAGAGCTTGTGAAGCGCGTTGCCTTTGCCCTGCACAGGGGACTGATATTCAACCCTCGAGCCAAGGTACCCAGGGACCAGAATGGGCCTGTCCTCTTCTCCGCCCAGCTTGCAGCA